TTTTAGGAGAAATGTAAGATTCAGCACTATTCAAACTTATAATAAAATCGTCTTAGTAAATACAAATAAACTTTTCGATTATGACTCCATATCGCTTTGTATGGCAGTTGGTTAACTTAAATTCTCTACAAAATCCCAGATTCAGTTATTGATGAATCAGTCTTGCGTTTACATTTTCGTATAATCATTTTATGTGGTTGTATATATTTGTTTCAAGACAGTTATGAATTCAGAAAACATTCCCATCATCAAGTAATGACTTGCGACCGTTTATCGTGCTCTGATTGATACAACTAGTGGGAATAGTTTGTAATAGTCTAGGTGTTACCCAAGGAAGACCCTAATGATATTAAGCATGCATGCTATATGGTTTTGTTATTACCGTGTTATATTGGCTACCGGGAGCATCACCAGATTAGTTGTGATTAGTACTCGTGTCGTATGTGCTTTGCGACACGGACGTGTAAAGTCCCTCTGTATGGTCGCTAAGGTGCAATGCCATACAAAGATAACATTGTTCGAATTTGTGCTAACCACTATCCAACGTCCTCAGTGACTGGGTTATTTCTAAGTTACTTTCACTCTCAGCACTGTCTAATGACGTTGAAATCGAGTATGGGTTGTAAAAGCGGTTGCCTTATAGTGTGATGTCGTGTCTGAAGTTGGCTTATTACAACTTCCGCATTAGTAACCTTGAGACTACCCAGCTCCTTGAATTAAGGTCACGTAACACCGGAAATTGACTTAACCATCGATCTCACTATGCTTCTGACGCTAAACAGACGTAATAGAGCTTTCCAAGCCCTAGAAACATGGTATCTGGTGTGCATGCACATAGTATATGTGAATTTGAAATAGTCTTACAAAATACTGCTGATCCCAATAAGCCTAGGGCTTCGACAAGACAAGCAGTAACTCGAATGTGAAGTACGCAGCATGAGATTGTTTTGCGCTGTTACGACAGAACAAAATATTTAGTTGTGTAGTGAATGTATTAGCTATTTGCCGCATGTGTTTGTAGTATGGCCTTGGCTTATTCACAATTTTGCCAGATCTCAATTATCCTGCGTACTGATCTTCATCTGCCTGACATCCAGTATTATCTAAAGTCATTATTAACAAAGGGATCATTAGAATCGCGAGAGAACATTTACAAGATGAGAAACAAATGAAGAGAGATAATAAAGTCAGTGGGAGTTAAAGCAAAAGAGATATGAAGATGGAAAAAAAGGATCAGAAAGTCAAGTTTGGAAGGAAAAACGAGAATGGATGCAACTGTATCCGGATTTCAAATAAGTCACACAATTTAGGGAAGGTATAGTTAGTACATCTATTGATTTACTGTAAGAAGTTATAAGATTATTTACTTGAATGTAGTGTCTACAAATGTTCGACCCATGAGTGGTTATTCAAGCTCCTTAATGAAACTAATCTCACATCGTCAGGTTGCTTAGTAAGGGCTATGTTTGTGTTCCTTGTCGAAAGTAACTTCTAAAATCTTTCCTGTTTCTTACTCAGTTGTTAAATCATTGCAGATATGGCAATTCATTTCTGAGGTTGTTTCCGAAAATAACTACCGATTTAACGAAGTATATACACTATGAATGTGCATCTGGAGAGAAGTTAGATATTTTTGGGGAGGTATGCCGTGTGGTTTCAAATTTAACTGCGAAGGCCAATGCGACATTACGCCTTACAGAGAGCCTGCGACTAGATTTACTGGGTCTAGACCTAATAGAAACATGGCAGTCAGCAAACCATACCATTAATCACATATGCCGTTGCTTGAGGACCGACAAACAAGCGGAGAAGAATTTTAAGAACGTTGCTTCGGAGATCCATAGTCACGTGTTCACTGATGAACTGGGGAATACATAAAGTAAAAGTAATACTACTTCTTAAACCCGGTGCCAATACTTTTTCAGACCAAAATGTCCGTTATCTTATGCAGACCTACCTATTTTGAACAAGAATGAGAGCGCCTGCAAAGAAGTGGAATCATAGAACTGGTGAATGCTTCTGATTGGGCAGCACCAAAGTGATTGCTGAGTAACGCAATGAAAGTATCTGGCTACATGCAGACTATTAGACTGGATTAAACAAAGCCCATCACTACCCTCTGTCGTTACCAGAAGACTTATTTCTGAAACTGAATGAGAGGATGTAATTTGCAAGATTGGATTTATTAGAGGCTTATCTACAGATTCCAGTAGCCGGAGAGTGCAAGCATTACCTGACCATAGTCATCTGCAGAGTTCAAATCATCTAGTTGCATCCAATCTGTTCATTGTATTCCGTAATTCAGTCAACCATTAGAAGAGAGAAATAGTGAGAGTAAGCACTTCTGTCTGACTCCGGTACTCATTTGGAATGCATCTATAAACTGCCCTCAATGCACGACTTTGCAGTTAAGTCCGTCGTATGAATTGCGGATGATGTTGGCGATCTTCTCAGCTACTCACAACACTGTTGAAGAAAGTTCCATAAGGTCCTATCCACTCTGTGAAACGCTTTCTCATAGTCACAGAAGTTGGTGTATAGTCTAGTGGCCCGATGTTTGACTTCAGTTAAATCCTTTGTTGACCGTTATCGAAATATATATGCTGCCAACCCTCGCATCTAATTATTGACTTATTCCACGTTAGTGAATAACAGAGTTTAAATAACTCGAATACGAGAATCCACTTTGTATACGTATATTTCATTTTGTCGTTACTCTGAACGGACAGCCAAGGAAACGCAGAGAAGGAAGCAAACAGGAGAGAGCGACACGAAATAAAAAAAAGCGGAGTGGAGAAGGCGAGTGAGACAACTAAATTTAATCAACGGAATACACCCATTATGACATTAAATAAGAAAGAAAGATTAGTTCAGCGAAGAGTTCTCTTTTCGGCGAATTCATTTTCAAAACTGTACAATCGCAAATATGTATACCTATTTTTACAGGGTGATAATAATACTGATAATAAACTTCTGTTATACATGGTGACAGTGAGGTTAAATAAACAAAGGCAAAAAAATTTTAAACAAGGAAAGTTTAATAATCGTTTGATAGTCAATGGATGAAGTGTTCATTGGGTGAGGATGGCTCAGCATGATAAAACAAAATGTTGAAACAGAGATGAAATGTGATCGGAATGATTGTGGAAATAAAAACAAGAAGACGAAGAATCTGTAGACCCGAGGTCGTAGAGGAAGAATTGAGCCTTTTAAAGGAGATACTTATCAAAAACGGATATCCTTCTATATTCATTGATAAGAACATGAAGCCGAAAATGCCAAAACCACAAACAATTACAGTAGAAAAGAAAATTTTATACATGAACATCGATTTCAAAGGTGATAGAACCGCATATCTTAAAGAGGAGAATTTTGGATTCTTTAAAAAGAACATTCTTCGCAGCAACATTGCAGATATTATTCTCCAGCCGATCACTGGTCACCAATAATTTGAAAAATAAATTATCGCATCTGACCAACTCAATGTGCATTTACCAATTTACCTGCTCTTGTGGAGCTAGGTATATATGTCGTTCGATGCGTATTTTATCCAAAAGAATTCAAGAACATTGTCCGGCGTGGCTAAAAAGAGGAGGCAACGGCTCAATAAGAAGTTCTATGATCGAACACCTTGTGAACACAGGTCACTCAATCAAGACAAACTCTGCGTTCAAAGTCATCTACAAGGTAAGTAGAAGCCTTCCTAAAACAATTAGACTGCATCTTCTTTGCATCACCGAGGCAATAGCCATACATTTTGAAAAACCAGAATTATGTGTACAAAAGAGACTGGTACAACCTCTTCTTCTACCATGGTCTTAATGTATTAAAATTTTTTCTCTTTCTTCATACTCTTGTTCCCTTACAGCCACCTGCTTCACCTTCCATCTTCCCTTCAAATCTTCTAACCCCAACCGCTTTGTTTCTATTTCCACGATCATTCCGATCACATTTCATCTCTGTTTCAACATTTTGTTTTATCATGCTGAGCCATCCTCACCCAATGAACACTTCATCCATTGACTATCAAACGATTATTAAACTTTCCTTGTTTAAAATTTTTTTGCCTTTGTTTATTTAACCTCACTGTCACCATGTATAACAGAAGTTTATTATCATTATTATTATCACCCTGTAAAAATAGGTATACATATTTGCGATTGTACAGTTTTGAAAATGAATTCGCCGAAAAGAGAACTCTTCGCTGAACTAATCTTTCTTTCTTATTGAAATTTTATCAGGCGTTACTCAATATTTATAGCTGGACGAAAAAGTTAATTACAGAAACATAATGAACAAGGTACGCAATCAACAGGGTCAGAATGTGGTTTGAGAAGAATGAATAAATTAGTAAGTCAAGAAACGAGATTAGCCTATATGTGTAGCTATGTATTTGTGAGCGACAATCAACAGTTTATGCTATTTGTGTTCACAAATCAGAACGGAGGGTCAAAGGTCGTGGTACTATGTTTTAAACGGCAATTTTACGACCAATAATGGTGATCGTACAGATTATGTGAATTAATGAAAAGAATAGAACTAATAACAAAAATGAATTACGAGAGAACTCTATGTTAACCATCTCCACAAGTCAATCATAACACATCTACGGAGAGCTGCCTTCGCCTTATCCCTGAAAATGTGTGTCAGATATAACAAACACCGGCTATCATCGACGATCCTTGTAAATGCATCCATCTCAACTTGCCGAATAAACTTCCTGTACGTTCTTACCACCCAGTTATTCGACTAATAATTGTTCAACGAATAACCAAATCTCACTTAAATTAGGTGGATAAATTGATGATGGATATGATACGACTACCAGTTTTAACGAACAAGCATTTCTATTGATACAGGGATACTATTTAGCACTTTTTGGACAGATCACGTAGTGTTGAAAAGGTAATATTTAACTAAATAAAACTATGGACAACAAATTTAGCAAGAATCACTCATTGCGAGAGTGTGCCTTTAAACTTATGAGAGTGTGATTTTTCACTGCTTTTCTGGAACGAAGATTTGGGTTGTTTGTAAGGCTGTTATACATTGTACAATAAACGATGGACTTGAGTTTTGAATTTGCGCGGGCATGTCATACCATGTTTTTGTTCTTGGTTACTTTCTATCTTTGTTTGAAGTTGGTTCATACTATTCAGTCTAGCTTGGATCTATCGTGTGAAAATCTTTTACCTGGGCAGTACATCTGTGACTCCCCTCTCATAGACGAGCTTACCCAGCAGCCAAGGAATTGCTCTCTCTTTTTGAAAGCTCCAGGTACTTTAAAAATTTCATCCCCTACTCTGTGTAAGTTAACTGCAAACCGGCTCCAGGAATCCATTGTAGTGGAAAGCTTTACAGTGGTACAGAAATTGGTTTTCAAAAGCTAATAGATTGCCGTCGAGTGTAGTTTGAACATAATTTGCAATGTTAACTATATTTCTGTATAGGACTGGATATAAGTTTGATCTGGCATTATTGCTTTCAGTATTTGGCGGACTGTTTGGCTTAGACCGATTTTATCTTGGGTACCCAGCTCTGGGTTAGTTGGCTTATTAATTATATTCTTGCACAGGTTGCTTGAAATTCTTCACGTTCGGTGGCTTCGGTCTCTGGTATCTCATCGATATACTACTAATTTCGGTTGAAGTGAGTATGAATATTCCACCATTTATTTAGGGTGATAGTTTCAAGTCAGTATTGGACATGGTTACTGTTGTTTATCTTTGTCTAATTTGGAACGCTAAACTGTTATATGTTGTACTCAATGAAATATGATTCGAGTTGAAATCCTGAGTATTCTTGCACATATTTGGCAAAATATCTTTAAAAACGTAATGCGACAAAATGATTTAAATATCTGAGGAGTTTCGTCCTATACTCAATTTACATTTAAAACTGAAACCTTCCAAGATTGGTTGTTCATATCATGTAACACAATATGTGGATAGGTGATTATAAGCAGGCTTCCAGATTCCTAGAGAAAGGGTCGAGATTTCTATGGTAGTGACCAAAAACTCACTCGATTAAGGGCTCGTGGAAAATCATTCAAAGTAATGTAATTTGTTGATGTTCTCAAAAGATTAAACTGTTTTGCCTACCCTTATTTCATGTGCGGATACGGGGTGATTTTAATTTACTTTATCTCCTTGGATTAATCCCTTACTCAAATAGTTTCAGGTAAAGACTAAAAGATATAAGGTTTTTGTACGTCTTCAACAAAATTCTAAGGATGGTTATCTATTTCGCGCCTTCCAAAAGTAAATGCTTCTCAGCTAGTCTATACCGACAACTAAGATCAGAGAAGCAACTGAATGAGTTTATCAAGCGTAAGAAATCAGGTAGGTGTACAGACCACTTATTTGCAGAGTCGCCTCACCTTTCGTTCCCGACAAGATCGTAGCACAGGTACAATATTGCATCAGTGTTTGATAAGCTGTATAATTTGTAGGTTCTCAGTCATATGCTCCATCACACCACCGCTGAAGTTTAAGCCACCGTGCTAGCAGTGTTTAACAGACGTCGATTGCAGATAGGAAGAACGTATTGGTCGAAAATTTGCCAGATCCCCACTGGCTGACGTGGGTTGGCTATTTGACAGTCATACAAACTCACTGGGTCTATAAACCAAACTTGTTAAAGTAGAATTAGATAAAATAAAACCTAGATATCCTTTTACTGGTACATATTCGCTACAAGAAGCCATCACTTCGATATTGAAATTCTAGGTAGTGGTACGATGAATCCGTACAGCTCGTGCTCTTTGATTCATTTTTAATTGTTTTGCTAGCTCTAAAATCTAAGTACTGGGTAAATTCATTCATGAGTTGTTAAATCAAAATTTCAAACTCTGCCAGCGTTTCTAGTTTCGTTTCTCCACAGTTTGAGTTTAGGCTTTTAAAAATATGCGTTTTCCTGAAGTTTCTGATGTCATTCACTAATTGGCACAAACTAATGCTAGTGATGGAAATGCACTTTATCCGTGATTACCGCATTTTCATACATGTCGATTTTTCTACTAGTTTCTTATTGTTTTGACTAATTGCAACTAACATTTTTGTTTCCTTCGTGTCTTTCCCTTTTTGTTTATGTAGTAATTCTTACTTCCACATAACCATAACTAAATTTATCTTTGTCTGTTTGAATGTAAACGAGTATAAAATCTGAATTCAAAGTTTCCTACTAGTTGTATCCAACTATGTAGATATAATACCCACATTTTATTCAATTAGCAATTTTCCTTGTAAACACCCAATTTGACGCTCATTATTGAGAATGTGACGCAAAAGATTAATTCTAATAACAACAAACCCATAATTCGTTGGCTTTCATACTAAGTGTTAACAAACTATGTCGTGTTAGTCAGAAACTCACTTTTTCTTGTTTGCGACAAGATACGTCATTTACTCGTTTTCAATAAATTTGTCTTCGAAGTTCATGAACGTGTTTCACCGCACATTTTCTCACATGTTATCTAATTCATTACTTAGGCGAACGATCGGAGGAGGTAAATAATCTGTATGTGATATCAATTGCCTTGATTAGAACATTTTAGTCTCACTTATTAATACTAAACTACTTTTATCATTGTGTCTTCTGTAAACATAGTTTCCAAATTGTTTTTAGACTGTTGGGCCTGCCGACGGGTCGTCGTTTCTTCGACCATACTACGATCCTATAGTGAAACTTCTCTGCCGGACTAACTTCACAGTGTATGCTGGTTGAATGTCTAGTATTCACCATCTAGGAACAAACGAAAAAGAATCAAGCTCCTTTCTGCGTTTGCGGTATTTGTCCTTGCTGCAGAAAATTAGTAGAGACTGCTCAGTTCTGCTTTATTTAACGGATTTGAAGGAACCCCTCAAGGCCACCTTAAATATTTGGTGCCCTTCAGATATAAGAATTAACTCAAAAACGAAGTTAGAACCAGGATTCGTTTGTGTAAAAGATCTGCATACTCCGTTGGGTGTGGTTTGCAAAGCTCGTATTCGTGAATCTGACGTGTTAGCCATTCAGGCGTTTTCGGATTAAAATGTCTGAAAATTCGTTCCGGATTGGTGACACACCTGTGCCGCCGAAAAAACGTGCCCGACTGGATGTATCAACGGTTGACACTGTTAACGGTTCGACGGATGCTACCTCTTTTCGTCCTGAGAATATGCATTTAGTATCTGTTCTTCAAAACGATCTTCGAAATAAGTGTTTAGTGTTACATACTCGTTTTGGCGATGATCCAAAGGAAGCTATTGTTACACTTCAGAAATCATCATTCCCAAATGATCCAAACACTTTAAAACGTTGTAAAGTAGTTAATAAGCTCATTGGTCTCCATATTTCCGACGATATTGATGACCAATGCCATGAAGAAGATAAAACTGACGAGATTGAAAATGATACTTTTCCCCAATGGCAAGCCAAGTCCATTATGAAGAACGATATTTATCATCGCTTCCTTATAACAAATGGTCTAGAGTCCATTAATGGTATTGAAATGACTGTGACGTATCCTGCAGAATCACATCACTTTAGTAGATATGCCAACTCTCCTCGTCATATTATTCAGGAGACTCCTGTGTTGTATAAGGATGTAATTCTCCCTTTTTTGTCCCAGAAACCCAAGGATCTTACTTGGATTGATAATGTAGTAGCAGGAATCGCTGAACAAGATCGTACTCTTCACAATGATGCTGATGAAATGTTTGGTTTTACTTTAGTATTAGATTACCGATGGGATGGGTTACGCATCCAAGAACTTCATTGTTTGGGTATTGCTCACGACCAAAAGCTAACTTGTCTACGGGATCTCCGTAGCTGCCATGTTCCAATGCTAAAAAGAATTTTGCAGCTGGGTCGTGATACACTCTTTCACAAATATTCTAAATCAGAAACATCTGATAATCAAATGTCCGGTGATAATCCAAAAATTATTTTATCAAAAGACCAGATTCTTGCTTATATACATTATCCACCGACGTTTTATAGATTTCATATTCACTTTGTGCACATAGATTCTGGAGACAACTATGGCACTAATGCATGTAGAGCACATATACTCGAAGAAGTTATTCGAAATCTCGAACAAGATGATCTGTACTATGCAAATCGTACAATAACTATGTTTCTTCATGCTAATAATCCCATGTTTGCAGCTATTTGTCAGAACAGTTCCCATATATCTATTGTCGATTCAGCTCCTGATTAAATTCCACGTATAGTGTTTTATTTTAGGAGAAATGTAAGATTCAGCACTATTCAAACTTTATAATAAAATCGTCTTAGTAAATACAAATAAACTTTTCCGATTATGACTCCATATCGCTTTGTATGGCAGTTGGTTAACTTAAATTCTCTACAAAATCCCAGATTCAGTTATTGATGAATCAGTCTTGCGTTTACATTTTCGTATAATCATTTTATGTGGTTGTATATATTTGTTTCAAGACAGTTATGAATTCAGAAAACATTCCCATCATCAAGTAATGACTTGCGACCGTTTATCGTGCTCTGATTGATACAACTAGTGGGAATAGTTTGTAATAGTCTAGGTGTTACCCAAGGAAGACCCTAATGATATTAAGCATGCATGCTATATGGTTTTGTTATTACCGTGTTATATTGGCTACCGGGAGCATCACCAGATTAGTTGTGATTAGTACTCGTGTCGTATGTGCTTTGCGACACGGACGTGTAAAGTCCCTCTGTATGGTCGCTAAGGTGCAATGCCATACAAAGATAACATTGTTCGAATTTGTGCTAACCACTATCCAACGTCCTCAGTGACTGGGTTATTTCTAAGTTACTTTCACTCTCAGCACTGTCTAATGACGTTGAAATCGAGTATGGGTTGTAAAAGCGGTTGCCTTATAGTGTGATGTCGTGTCTGAAGTTGGCTTATTACAACTTCCGCATTAGTAACCTTGAGACTACCCAGCTCCTTGAATTAAGGTCACGTAACACCGGAAATTGACTTAACCATCGATCTCACTATGCTTCTGACGCTAAACAGACGTAATAGAGCTTTCCAAGCCCTAGAAACATGGTATCTGGTGTGCATGCACATAGTATATGTGAATTTGAAATAGTCTTACAAAATACTGCTGATCCCAATAAGCCTAGGGCTTCGACAAGACAAGCAGTAACTCGAATGTGAAGTACGCAGCATGAGATTGTTTTGCGCTGTTACGACAGAACAAAATATTTAGTTGTGTAGTGAATGTATTAGCTATTTGCCGCATGTGTTTGTAGTATGGCCTTGGCTTATTCACAATTTTGCCAGATCTCAATTATCCTGCGTACTGATCTTCATCTGCCTGACATCCAGTATTATCTAAAGTCATTATTAACAAAGGGATCATTAGAATCGCGAGAGAACATTTACAAGATGAGAAACAAATGAAGAGAGATAATAAAGTCAGTGGGAGTTAAAGCAAAAGAGATATGAAGATGGAAAAAAAGGATCAGAAAGTCAAGTTTGGAAGGAAAAACGAGAATGGATGCAACTGTATCCGGATTTCAAATAAGTCACACAATTTAGGGAAGGTATAGTTAGTACATCTATTGATTTACTGTAAGAAGTTATAAGATTATTTACTTGAATGTAGTGTCTACAAATGTTCGACCCATGAGTGGTTATTCAAGCTCCTTAATGAAACTAATCTCACATCGTCAGGTTGCTTAGTAAGGGCTATGTTTGTGTTCCTTGTCGAAAGTAACTTCTAAAATCTTTCCTGTTTCTTACTCAGTTGTTAAATCATTGCAGATATGGCAATTCATTTCTGAGGTTGTTTCCGAAAATAACTACCGATTTAACGAAGTATATACACTATGAATGTGAACTAACAACTTATGTTGAAGTAAACATAGCTCGAATATATAGTAAGATACCACTTGTCTAAATCGTAAAAGATTGTTAGAAATAGTTTCTGACACTAAATAAAAGTGATATACATATGCTTAGTGATACATATGAATACCAGAAAATTAGCAAATAAATACATACATAAATCATCCCATTCAATGGTATAAGGAAGTGGCTTAAGAATCTATAGTGCAACTAATATAAAACATTCCTATCCGCTCAAAATCCCTTTGTGATCTAGATCGAAGTATAACTACTACATGCCCAGCTTCCTTAAATAACTCATCAAAAATCTCATACATGTTACTTTAAATGGATCATCACTCGGTCAATAGATGAGATAGTATCGTGTGTTCTAATCAGTCGTTTTTCCAGTTAGCTGATAATTGCTACTAATTAATGGACTGTAAGAACACTTTCAGTAAGATAAAGCATTCAATTTGTCTATTCTAAAATTCTCATAAACAATGAGGCTGAGATTATTCCCCATTCCCAAGGTGGATTTTCATATTATGGACCGCTCATATGTACTTTCAGTCTTGGTAATAAAAAAAACTATTCTTATTAAACTGTCGTTCAGGGTGTACGTAATAGTTTAGTCCATTTGAAGCTATGCATAAAGCATTAATAGTTAAGTGTACATTAAAGCTTTCAGTCGTGTGAAATCTCATTGCTACTGATTGTTTAACCAACAACTACTACAGTAATCTAGATAAAGCTCATATTAAGAATCATGATAACACAGTTGTATCGTTTGCCAAAAATGTGAAGGATTCCAATTTCTCTACAACCCACATAATGGTTCGCCCGTGGCATTACTGCAAGTCCTCACTAGCTAATTACAGCGAATCCCTATGCATAAATATACTAATTGTTAGCAGTTAGTAACAGAACTATTTGTTACAGTTATACAGATTAATCGAGCTTAAGTCTGACACGCTGGTCCTGCATATCACGTAATGACGCAACAAGTTACGTCTGCTTAACTTAAAAAATCAATTCCTACCATCAATAGGATGATTTGTGAATATGGAAAATGAGTGTACTGTGAATTACGAGACACAAGCCTAGTCACCGAAATGCCATGTAATGGAACCCAGGTCCAAGGTTTCCTTGTCAACCGCCTTCAACTACAACACAAATCCACTAATTTTCCGGGAAATGGTACATTTGTTTAAGTTATTGAATTCCGTGTGACTAAGGCTAACTGTAAGTATTCACCACTGATCTCTTCTACGCAGGTTATTTTTCATATAAACCATACGACTGGATCCTGGTAACCATATTGGGGCACATCAGTGTAGATGCTTACAATGAATCCCATTGATTTTGAGTGCATACTACAAGTCTCTGTTTATGGATTAATATGCATTTGAACCGATGAATAGCAAAAGACTTGACTATTAACTTCTAAATTACTGTCAATTAAAACGAAATTCAACTCAAAAACACTCATGTAAAACAAGATATTAATTCCAGATTGGAAAGTCCCTTAATTGTCTAAAAAGAGTGCACATTTGATGTTTGATAATCAACTCGAAATGCCATAAAATAGGATATTTATTTTTTACAAGGGAAATTACAAACTTAATTTATCAAGTATATTAGGTGTGAAGTGAATTTGTTGAAATGTATCGAAAGAAATAGATACTGTTTCCTAAAGTATGTGAAGTTAAATATTATTTTGAAACTGAATGATTAATGTATTATGAGCAACTGGGAGTAGGTGTTCTAGCTTTCAAAGTGGGTAGCACGTGCACTCCACAAGTCATCTGTCTTTCGAATAAGATTAAGTACTCAGAGGTATTTAAATTATTTCAGAGAATGAGTCGCAGGCCAACGATGAGACCACCAAACGAGAAACTGATAAAAGCGAGGAAGATGGATCTTTTTCATTTGTAATCCATATGATTCAACTGAACGGGGAGATGAAGTTGGGTCACTAAATTGTTGTTGTGGTGGTCGCAAATATCGACGACATTGTGATAAAGCTGCTGTTTCTGCATCTTCCGCCGTGATGTCACCTTCATTCCCTTCACTTAGTGCTTCACCGGTGGAATGTACTTCTTCCTCGTCAAAGGCATCCAGATAGAATTCAAGATTGTTCCTGGAAGATATATCATAACCTTCTTGAACTCTTAAAATAGCTTTTAATAGCTCTGTTGTAGCTTGAGGATCAATATAGATTGACTTTATTGGTGGACAGGCCAGCCCCATCCCAGCAGCTTCCGCTTGCAAACGCCACAATGCAAGAACAATTAAATCATCTGAATGACCCAGAGCACGTGCATTTTCTACTGGCCATCCTTGAGGAGCTGGAGACGCAGTCATTATATGAGCTATCGCATATAGCCTATCTGCCAAAGATGGATATTCACAAGATGAGTTTTGAGAAGATTGGTCAGTGAAATGTACTACAGGCCGAGAAATTACTCCAGGAAGACCTCGGACAGATTGCGTTTGTCCAACCGGAACCAAAGACTTACGAGCAAGAGGAATTTCGGAAACAAGAAGACGATGGACAATAAGATAAAGACATGGTATAGTTGGGATAGGTGAACGATAATGTCCGTCACCCGAACCCATTTCTATGGCAGCTGTTGCGGCAGCCGAATATGCGATATGACACGCTTCAGGTTGATCTGTGGCCTGCCAATCACGCAGCCCCAAACCACAAGCAGGGCAAATAGTTTCGTCTCCAGAACCAGTGTGAAAAAAGCCTGCCGAAGCCAGCTCAGAAGGAGATGGAACTGGAGACTTTGACCGGCAAATTGTTGAACCATTCGCAGAATCCTTCGAATGAATTATTTTTGGAAATGAATCTAACCGCGCCTGATGAAATGCATAACGAGGTGTGCGGGAATGAATTTGTAATAATCCAGCTGTATGAGAAATAAGCAAAATTGGATAAAGCAGTTACTAAACAAAGAGGCTTGGAAGTTAAAAATTCTACTAAACAGTAGAAACAAAAAAAACGAAAAGGAATTACCGTCCCTAATAAACCAGTGATTGCAGTACAATATGGCGAAAAATTTCCTTCATAAATAAAGCTGGATTTTAAAGTAGCATGTGTGACACAAATAAACAGCTTTAAGTGATTAAATAATCTCGCAGGAGACGTCCACTTGAAATAAATTATGTAGAATATATTTAAACGAGAAATAAAGTCACCAAGGAAGAGTAATTATGGTAATCTGACCTTAGATGAGGTCAGCAGATATTGCGATGAAAAGTTTGTAAGTATTTTTTTAGTAAAAGTTCACAAACCCCACGAATTTCCCGAAACAACTTCAGACTTTCTTCAGAGGAATGTAAGGCATCGTATACTAAATGAACCATCAGACTGGAAACAATATATGGAATTGTATATGGGTTTATTAACTCCGCCTTTAGCTCTTATAGGGTTACTGCCGGTCCCAAGCCCGGGTAAAGGAGGAGGGTTGGGCATGGGGTTAGCGTCCCCATCCCGTAGAAAACTAACTCGCTAAAAAAACGCTTACCAGAAAAAATAATCCAAACCATTTAAACTCTGCCCTGGGAGTTAGAAGGTCTTCAGTTAGAAGAATTATGACGCTTCATGGTGAAAGCCGAGTTCCTTCGGAAGCCACGAGGCCGATGCCCCTTCTAACAACCAGAGCAAAAATTTTTATAGGTACATGGAACGTTCGAACAATGTGGGAAACCGGGAAGACCAGTCAAATAGCAATGGAAATGAGGAGATACAACTTAGCAGTACTGGGAATCAGCGAAACCCACTGGACCCAAGCTGGACAGAAAAGGCTAGCTACGGGAGAGATGCTGCTATACTCCGGTCACGAAGAGGACAATGCTCCACACACTCAGGGAGTCGCTCTTATGCTGTCCAAAGTAGCACGAAATGCACTTGTAGGATGGGAGTCTCACGGATCCAGAATCATCAAAGCATCATTCAAAACAAAGAAGGAGGGGATCTTAATGAATATTATCCAATGTTATGCACCCACCAATGATAGCAACGACGACATTAAAGATCAGTTCTACGAGCGGCTGCAGTCAATCATTGAGAAATGCCAAGAAAGGACCTAACTATTCTGATGGGAGATCTAAATGCCAAAGTCGGAATAGACAACACTGGATATGAAGATATTATGGGACGACATGGACTGGGAGAAAGAAACGAAAATGGAGAAAGATTTGCAAATCTATGTGCATTCAACAAATTGGTCATAGGAGGCACAATATTTCCACACAAGCGTATACACAAGGCTACATGGATCTCACCGGACCACACTACAGAGAACCAAATAGATCATATTTGCATCAACAAAAAATTCCGAAGGACAATGGAAGATGTGAGAACCAGGAGAGGTGCTGACGTAGCTTCAGATCACCACCTAGTTGTAGCCAATTTAAAACTGAAGCTAAAAAAGAACTGGACAAGTGGACAAACAGCACTACAAAGGTTCAATACAGCCTTCCTTCGAGATACTGACAAACTCAATGAATTCAAGATAGCTCTCAACAACAGGTTCCAAGCCTTACAAGATCTACTGAATGAAGAAGAAACTACTATGGAGGACAACTGGAAAGGCATCAAGGAAGCATTAACTTCAACGTGTCAAGAGGTTCTGGGCCTAAAGAAACACCATCATAAGGAATGGATCTCTATAGAAACACTGGACAAGATCAAAGAAAGGAAGAACAAGAAGGCAGCAATTAACAACAGCCGAACACGAGCAGAGAAAGTCCAAGCACAAGCTGAATACATAGAAGCAAACAAACAAGTGAAGAGGAGCATTAGAGCCGACAAGAAGAAATACGTGGAAGAACTAGCAACGACGGCAGAAAAAGCTGCTAGAGAAGGAAATATGAAACAGCTTCACGATACAACGAAGAAACTAGCAGGGAAATACAGTAAACCAGAGAGGCCGGTCAAAGACAAAGAAGGCAAGCCAATCACCGAAATTCAACAACAGCGTAACAGATGGGTAGAATACTTCGAGGAACTCCTGAATAGGCCGGCTCCAATGAATCCACCGGACATCGAAGCAGCACACATAGATCTTCCTATAGATGTCAACCCACCAACGACGGAAGAAATTAGAATGGCCGTCAGACAAATCAAGAACGGGAAAGCAGCAGGACCCGACAACATACCAGCTGAAGCACTGAAATCAGACATCGAAGCAACCACAAGCATGCTTACCTTCTATTCAAAAAGATTTGGGAGGAGGAACAAGTGCCGATGGACTGGAAAGAAGGACACCTCGTCAAGATTCCAAAGAAAGGAGATCTGAGCAAATGTGAAAACTACAGAGGCATTACACTACTGTCAATACCAGGGAAAGTCTTCAACAGAGTGTTGCTGAACCGGATGAAGGATGCAGTAGACGCCCAACTTCGAGATCAACAAGCTGGATTCCGTAAGGATCGGTCGTGCACAGACCAAATTGCAACACTACGGATCATCGTCGAACAATCAGTTGAGTGGAACTCATCACTATACATCAACTTCATTGATTATGAAAAGGCATTCGACAGTGTAGATAGGAGGACATTATGGAGTTGCTGAGAAGATTGTCAACATTATCCGGAACTCATACGACGGACTACAGTGCAAAGTAGTGCATGGAGGACAGCTGACAGATGCATTCCAAGTAAGGACTGGAGTCAGACAAGGCTGTTTACTCTCTCTCTTCCTCTTTCTTCTGGTGGTCGACTGGATTATGAAGACCTCGACATCTGAAGGAAAACACGGAATACAATGGACAGCTCAGAATCAATTAGACGATTTGGACTTCGCAGACGACCTAGCTCTCCTATCACGTACACACGAACAGATGCAGATGAAGACAGCCAGTGTAGCAGCAGTCTCTGCATCAGTAGGCCTCAGCATACACAAAGGGAAAACCAAGGTCCTCAAATTCAAAGCGGAGAACAGCAATCCAATCACTCTTGATGGCGAAACTCTGGAAGATGTAGAGTCCTTCACATACCTAGGAAGCATCATCGATGAACAAGGAGGTTCAGATGCAGACGTAAAGGCGAGGATCGGCAAAGCAAGGGTCGCATTCCTACAATTGAAGAACATATGGAACTCAAAACAACTTTCAACCAATATCAAAGTGAGAATCTTCAATACGAACGTCAAGGCAGTTCTACTGTATGGAGCTGAAACTTGGAGAACTACAACAACCACAATCAAGAAAGTACAAGTATTTATAAATAGCTGTCTACGCAAGATACTCAACATCCATTGGCCGGATACCATCAGCAATAGCCTTCTGTGGGAGAGAACAAACCAACTTCCAGCTGAAGAGGAAATTAGGAAAAGACGATGGAAATGGATAGGACATACATTACGCAAATCGTCAAACTGCATCACGAGGCAAGCCCTAACTTGGAATCCTGAAGGGAAGCGAAAAAGAGGAAGGCCAAAGAACACATTGCGTCGGATTATAGAAGCAGATATGAAAACGATGAATTACAACTGGACGGAGCTAGAAAGGATTGCCCAGGACAGGGTTGGATGGAGAATGCTGGTGAGCGGCCTATGCTCCTTCACGAGGAGTAACAGGCGTAAGTAAGTAATATGGGTTTATTAAGCCGGGGTATGAAACAATAATCCTAAAAAGTCACCAATGATAATAGCGGATAGGCTCATATTTTTAGTTTGGTGATATTGGTGTTGACTTTATAAGACTAGCTACTTGGAAGAATTATGAACTAAGCTTAACAGTAATGCATTTCAGTAATGAAAGCCGTGTTGTCCTTGCAAACACTATACTGTACTTTAGTTACTTCAAATAAAATCCCATCCACTTCAATCTAGACAGCTAATACTTTTCCTCATGTGTGACCAAAGACCACCAAATATCATTACATCTGAACTGCGGTCACAATGACTACATAAGCCGGCCACTAAACAAATTACATAAGGTCTAAGACATGAAAATTCTAAAGTGAGACGGATGATAATAGAACTAAAGGGTATTATGATACAGTAGTTGGTAGATGCAGACTACTGTTGGTAGATGCAGACTACTTGGTTGGGGTCCGCGTGACTTTCGTAACCAATGGTTGGAGACTCTTGGTGACATGGCTCAGAATCGATCACAATGGCGTCGGTGTATACACTCCCTGTCTTCCCTTAAACTAAGAGATTAAAATCACTTCATATCTTTCTTTCTACGAACTAATTCTTTCTTCCTATACTATATCCTTATTGCAATCCTCCTATATATTACCACCTCTGAATTAACTACTTTTATGAATCCGGTGTTCATCTTGCTGTGCTAATGAGGTATGGCAACCTGGACCGATGCACATATGTGCCTAGTCCTACGTTGTAGCTGACTGACTGATGATACAGTACCTGATAATTACAGTTTTGCAACATATCTCACGAACCCTAACTACTCCCACAAGAGTCAAACTTTATAAGGAAACCACATTACCAACTGAAAGTTTTCAGACACTAAATACAACAGTGAGTCAACAAAACGATACTTATGAGACATCGTACCCACTAAAACCAGTAATGAGATGGTATCATTCGAAAGTTGGGATCTGCGTTAAATAAATACCACGTTCCACCAGTAATTATGCGAATTCCGAATGCACCAAAAGATAAAAGCTTGTGTTAGGGTTTGCACTGTCTAACTATCTGCTGACTACACGTTATTATCGAACAACACTTTCTATAAAAGAATCAGTTAGAGTTTATGAGGATCCTTTACTTAGAAAAGACAGAGCTTTAAAAAATGTTCAACCCAGTATGTTAGATGGACGTTACAGGTGGACTCAGAGACCTCACATTGGCCACTACAACATGGCGCGAAGTCGATTACATTCGTGTAGTTGCATTCACTATCTATTTACCAATCGAATTCGCCTTTTTTTT